CGGAAGAGCTTGTAGCAGGCTGAGGTGCTGGCCATGAGCATCCGGAATTTCTGTGAGAGACCATCCAGAGGGCCAGTGTCAGCAGAGAGGAGGTGGCCAAGAGCCATAAAGAAGCCCCCGCTCTCAGCACCCGGGGTCCCACCTGCATATTGTCTCAAGCCACTCTCTGCCGAGCAAAGGCCACCTGGCAGGGTTTTCTCTATTTCAGAGGAATATTTCTCACCCTTCCTGCTATAGAAATTCCTCCACCTCAGCAACGCCATCGAGTCAAAGCTCAGAGTCAAGGGTGACCTTGGACAGAGAGGAAGAGCTTCTCCCAGTGGCCAAGAGGCCAGGCCATTTGCACCAAATTTCCAGGGTTTGAAGTTGCAGCTGTTTCTTTTCACTTCTTGGGAAATGAAAGAACCTCTTTCCAGAGCCCCAAGCCCATACCCCATTGCTCTCTAGAGCATTATGGCCAGTACAGTAGCCACCAGCCCTGTGGGATTATTGGACACTTGACTTGTGGCTGGTCTGAGTTGAGAAGTGCTAAGAGTAAAATACACACCTGATTCTGAACACTTAGTATAAAAAAAGAATGTAAAATCTCTCATGAATAATTTTTATAATGACTACATGCTGAGGCGCTAATATTTTGGATTTATTGGGTTAAACATTTACCTGCCACAGAAACAACGTACAAACCAGCTTCAGCCTACTTCCTTCTTCCTCTCTGCGGTTGTCTTCCTCTAGATACCCCTCTCTGTTGACAGGAGCTGGTAGTACAGGGGTTCTGCACTATCCTATTCACTCCAGCCTCAGGGGCCAGCTCACCTTTGTGCCTGGGATGGGGACGAATGTCATGAACTCATCTACATGGCCCACGGTCAGCCAGTCCGAGTAGAGCTCCACGGGTGCCTGCACCTGCTGGGCCTGCAGGAAGTCCCTCACCACCTTGGTCATCCTCCGACCACCAGACCTGGGGTGGGGTTGGGGAGGAGACAGTTCTTCAGAAGGTTGCCCACTGTGCCTGCCTCACCAGAGGGTCTGCAGGAGGAGTTCAGCCTCTAGAATCTAGCCTGGACCCAGAATAGCATGGGCGGAAAAGTCGTGGGAAGGAGCCTGAGTTGCAGAGACCCTGGCACAGGCAGAAAGGTGTTTGGGCCCAAGGGGAAAAAGGAGGAGTTAGCTGTAGCCATGGTCTGTGTGAAGAGCATAGAGCCCAGTCTTTGGCCACTGAGGGTGTCAGTAGGTGTAAGAAGTCAGCTTCTGTGCTCAGGGATCCCTCATGGACTGCTGAAGGGGGCTAGGACACAGGCATGATTCCAAAATCTTCCCTAGCCTAGGTACCTCTTCGCTGTTAACTTCTCAACTTCAATCATTTCAAGTGACACCTCTTCCAGGAAGCCCTTCCTGACTTCCACACTCCCTGAGGTCTTCAATCTCCCCATTACCCTTATAATATAACCCCAAAACCTCACAGTGGTCAACAAATGCCTCTGTGATCTGGCCCCTGCCTGTCCCTCCTACCTCATCTTCCTCCCTTCCTCCTTGTTCTGTTTGCTCTAGCCACATGCTAAACTTGTTGCCAAGGTTTTGTCCTTTCTGTTCCTTCTATCTGGAACACTCCTTCCCTTTGATCTTCCCATGGCTGCTTCCTTCTCATCATCTGAGCCTCAATTCCAAAGTCACTTCCTCAAAACCACAAAAGCCAAAGTGCCCCTGCCTCATCACTCTTTATCATGTACCCTATTTTATCGTCTTCATTGCACCTATTAGCACTCAGAAGTACCTTATTTATTTGCTTGCTTCCATGTTTATTGCCTATACTGCCTCCACCCCTAATGGAAAACTTCCTGAGAGCTGGGACTTTGTCTGTTTTGCTCACTGCTGTCTCCCCGCAGCCCAGAACAACACCTGGCACAGAGAAGACTCTCAATAGATATTTGTCTCTAAGAAGACCCCCCGTGAACTCCCCTAAGGGGGTTAGGGACCCCTCCTTGGGTTTCTCTGACTCTGTATCATTCTATCACTGTACACACCCTCTGTTTCATGTCTGTGATCTCCACCATCTCCTGGAAGGTGGGGGCTGGGCTTCATGTTTAGAACCCCATGTCTGACATAGGGCTTGGTGCTTGGCTGGTGCCTGGGAAATACCTGCTGAATGGGTGAGTGACTGTTGAGTGGAGGGAGAAGGAGGGCAGGGTGAGCAAATGGTCACTGTCTGTGTCAGTGGCCTGCCGCAGAAGGTAGAGAATCCCATGTGGCTTATAGGGACTTGGTGCCCAAATCCTGGCTGGTCCCACATGTGCAGGTTCCTGGCAGCCCTTTTGTGAAGTGAGGACCCACAGTACTCACTCTCTCCCCAGCAACCGCTCTAAGGAAGACTCTGCCTTCTCATCGACTGGTGGGTGACCTGGGGAGGGAGTGAAGGTGCTGTTGACAGGCCAGGGAGCCAGGGACTCAGGCTTTGGGGCAGAGCCATGTCTGCTCATGTGTCTTTTGTGAATGGGCACCCCTGAGGATTTGTTGGTGTGCTCCCACTGATCCTCTTTCGGTACTCCTTCTCTGAACTCCTTCATCCCTTCCCCACTTTCTTTATAATCTCATTATATTTCCTCCCATTTTGGGAAGAGGGTTATTTATTTAGTTTTGTATTAGGTCCTAATTCATACTAAGACATAAAGGCTAACTTGGTTTTCTTTCCAAGAGTGTCTGTATCTTGTCAGAGAGTCATGGGAGCGGTTAATTCTCCCAGCCAATCACTCCATGTATGAGCAACCCAGTCTGCTCCTCAAGGGAAACAATAACTCCCCCTGCCCACCCCCCCACCCCCC